GTTTGTATAAGGCAATTGCAATATGCTATGCTTTACGAAAAAAAAACTGTTAAAAAATAAATACTAGTTAATAACTTGTTATTAAATTTAAGATTATATTGCATTACAAAATAGTTTGAGGTCTTTAAAATATAAAATGTAATTGACTAATGTTAAAATTAATAAATAGGTCATTTGCTATAGTGAGTTAATATTTCCCTTTTTTGTTAAAACCATTATTTAACATTTAAATCAATTTAAAATTGACTGGATTTTACTTTTCTTTTTTCCGTGGCACTAAATCTTGCTGGGGGCTTGCTACCCTGCTGATCGCCCTATTGGTGTCGGGTAATGTGGCCGCACAAATGTATACTTACGTGACGCCAACAACCACGGGTAACGCATTTCCCCTAAGCACTACTTCAAGTAATAAATGCCAGTTCCTGTACCTGCCCAGTTATTTCCCAACGGCGCCGGCTGGCAGCTTAACTAAGATCTATATCCGTTCCCAGAACGCCGTGACCACTTCCACCTGGAATAACCTGACGGTGAAAATGGGCACGACTAATCTAACTGCCTTTGTAACGGGTGCCTTTGAGACGGCACTGACTACGGTATACACAGCGCCTGTAACCACCACAACGGCACCGATACCGGCGGGCGGCTGGTTTGAGCTGACCTTACAAACTCCGTTTATGTGGAACCGGTCTAACAATCTTATTGTTGAAATATCCCAGACTTCTTATACCGGTGGGCTGACGATTGCTTACAGCAGTGCCGTGGCCGGTGCCCGTCATTACGGTGCCGTAACCAGCACTACCGGTACTGCGGGAGCGGGCCTGCTTAATTTTGGTTTCGACCTCGTGACCACTCCTTGTGCCGGTGTGCCGGTACCGGGTACTATTGTTTCTACCCCTGCTATACCATGCCCTGGCACCAGTGTTTCACTGAGGCTGGATCCGGGTAACCTGAATATCGGCATTACCTATCAGTGGGAAGAGTGGGATGGCACTGGCTGGATACCGGTGATTGGTGGTACGGGTGCTACCGGTCCGCTATATACCACGCCGCCGATCACAGGCCCCAAGAGATACCGGGTGATGCTTACCTGTACCAATGGCACTCCAATGCCGGCACCTGCTTATGCTCGTGAAATAGCGCTGACAACGGCTCCGTTTATCAGCTGTTATTGCATCCCTACTTATGCTACGGGGGCAGCTGCCAATACGATCACCAATGTTACCCTCAATACGCTGAACAATACATCGACCGGCGCTGCGCCCTGGTATGTTGATTACACGCCACAACAGC